GGGTCTAGGGTTTAGGTATTTAGGGGCCTAGGGGGGGTTAAAAGTTTCGGGGCTTAAGGCTTGAAAAGTTAGGGGTTTAGGGTTCGGCTTTTTCTGAAATTAAATATGGGCCCTTTGAAATCAATGCTCTTTAGAAATATATTGCCCGAGTGGCCAGGCCCTAAACCCTTGCCCGGAAACCCACCTGAAAAAAAAAAAAAACCCTCAAAGGGGCATCATTTACTCGAACAAGCACATCTGCAGTTTGCCTGTCGGCAGATCTGCGAAGTCTATAATAAATTTGGCCTGAGAAACCCATTCCTAGCCAGGTCACAGGCCCTCGCAGGGGAGTTGCTGGTATAGAACCGGGATGAAATGCGAGGCTTCTTCTGAAACACTGGTTGTATTAGTTGTATTACTAGATCCCCTTTTCCGGTCCGCATGGCTACAAGTATTACTACTACGACGACGAAGACTACTACTACCACTACTATACTATTACTACGGAGTACGAATGGCCTATAGGTGATCATCACCTATACGCAGCCTCTGCGGCCAAAAGGATACTCCATCGACGAGGACATCGGTGTCAGCTTGCGGGGTTCGGCAGATCTGCTCTGAAGGAACGAAGACGGAAGCAGACACGAGCATGGTGTATTTGGAGTGCATGTCGCATGGGGAGCATGTCGCATGGTGCAACAAATTGCATTGGAGAGTGCATGCTGCATATAGCTTTAGAAGAGCGAGCATGTCTCATGAGGCACCGGGAGTATGCTGTGTAGCGACGGCTTCAAAGTCATGATCAGATCTGAACGAGCAGCTAAGTTTTGCATGCGAGATTGTGCGAAAGCAAGCCTAGGCTTAGATATACCTGGGCTGCACTATTGTGGTCGTCCGATAAGCAGGGTCGCTGCAAACCGAATTTATAGTGGCAAGAATATTGAAGCCACGGGTTCCCATTCAATATTCTGTAAACGAAATTACTGAGGCACTCTGTCGCCACGATGACGGCTGGGCAACTTGAAATCGAGAATGGAGTGCATCCGGTCTTGAAGCTGAAGGCGTGGAATGGACGATTAATGGTGCTGTTTCTTGCGATTGCCCTCAAGGGGCTCCCGGAGCCTGATGATGATCTGCTGCGATCTGAGCTCCGGCTGGCGGTGGCGGCAGCTGACTGTGTTGCTTGCTTTTTCGACAGATCCGAAAGATCTGGTCGACTGTTGACGAAGCAGGAGGCGGAGGACATCAGCGGTGCGACATTCAAGTTCCTCCAGTTGTACATGCTGCTCATCAAGAACTCCATTCGCCGCCAGTGCCCCCGATACAAGCTGATCCCGAAAATGCACGTGCTGCAGCACGTGGCACAGGATGTTCGGGAGACTCGGCTCAATTACAGGCACTTTCATTGCTTCACCGACGAGGACTTTATTGGGCGAATGAAGGAGCTTACAATCAAACTGCCGAAAGTGGGCCTGGGCTTAGAGTTTCGGCTGCTGACGCGATGGCTTCTCCGTCTCGGTGCCTCGAGACCACTTGATGCTGGCGCAAATTGATTTCTGCCCACTGCTCTGGGCAGTCAATCAAGATGTTTGTGGGTGGTCTACATCTGGCTCAGCTACACTAGACTCGCCAGAGTCTAGTGTAGCTGGCCAGCTATAGCTCTTCCACTGGGCGTGCACTGGCTCAGCCTTGATATCTTGATTTGTTGATGCACTTTGGGAAGTTTGGCCTTCAGGATGGTGTCTGGCTCATCACGACTGGTGTTGCACGTTGGTCAGTTCGGAAGCCCTCGCGAGCTCAGCCCTGGGAGCCTGAAAATTTTTTTCCGATCTTCGGAGCTTAGAGGTTTTGAAACCCTACCCTGAGCTTTCAAATCTCACGAGAAACTTCAACACAGCACTCTTTGCACTGGAAGTGTACACCCGGGGGACATCTTGTCGAACTCCTAAACCCGGCTAACTCTACCCGAATACTCTCAACAGAGTGCTCTTTCGAAGTGTTTAGCACCTAATTATAGTAACCTTAAGAAAAACCCTGCCTCAAAGCCCGAACAGGAAACAAACCAGCAACTCTGAAGCCTTAAACCCTTGCCTTCCCGTAGCACTAGACACAACCAGTGCCAATACTGCATCCTCGAAGTATATCTAGATTTTTGTTCTACATGTCGGAGTAGGGGAGTGCCCATAATCTTGAAGATTTCATTCGGGCTTCCTGCTGGTGTCCATATATATCTAGTACCATGTCCTTCACACCCCAACGAGAGCTCATAGTGCCCAAATGAACTGGAAATCCCATCGTTTAACCTGCCTTAAGACTGTAGAGCCGTATGCATATATAGTTGTACTATTGCCGATATAGCAGGATATCGATGCTATATAGGCTAATGGAAGAACCATGTTTTAATGGAAAGAAGCATAATTTTATGGATATGCGAATGACGATGTTTTTTGTGTGCGTAGGGCCATTATGGTGGTATGCATGTGTTATTCGTGGTCTCAACGCAATGTCTGCACCATTTGCAAGCGTTGGATTGCGAGGGTTATAATATGCTACAATATAGTATACTATAGTATAGTATTGTATAACATCCTTTCACATACTGTATAATTATATACTACACAGACACTATGATATAACGGAATATAATATAAGATAGCAGCCATACCTTATTATAAACGGTAGTAGCAATAATGCGCGAGAGACACCATTCCTGCGGCTGGACCTCAGAGAGCGGCTTGAAATAGCCATCAAAGCTGCAGTCATGAACATGACCCTCTCACAGAGATGTACGCGACCCATATCCAGGGGCTGCAAGCCTGGCAGAGGTATGGGTTCAACATGAAGATCTTCATCAGGGAAAGGTTCAGTTTGTTCACCGGCCAGGGCTTTGGATTGAATACCCGGGGCATCAACGGAGCACCCCAAGAATCCACGTGTCGCTGGGCAGCAAAGCCCTACAGCGGCTGTCAACGCAGCGATGATGCCCGAGATCGATCGGTGCATGCACGGAGGTGGAGCAAGTGCCTCTGAGACCATGCTTCCGCACTTTGCGGCTCAAGTTTTAAGGGTACCCAGAGAGCCCAATACCCCTTAATTAAGGAAATATGCCTTAAATCAATATATTAATCCCCTGATGGTTTAAGGTATATATTGCTTAATTAAGGGGTACTGGGCTCTCTGAGTTGGGCTTAATCAGAGGCTTAGAACTGCTGTTTCGGGTTATTTTTCGGGTGTTTATATTAAATGGGCTCCAGGATGACCCTAATGCTCACAAGATGCCAAAACCCCCTACGCATTCTGATTCTAGTAGCGCATTCTGATTCTATTAGCATTATGCGGAGTGCACGAAACATCCAAGCCACCTAGCCGTGAAGCACACAGTTCCAGGATTGAAATTGTGTTTGGGGGGTGCAAGGTGTCGGGTGTCTAGGTTTTGTTCAGGGTTTCTGGACGTCTAGGTTTATGGGGTTTTGGGTCAGGGCCATGCCAGGGTTTCGGGAAAATTTCGAGGGTCTCGGAGCGACAAAGACTTGTATGTTCTGGGCCTGCAGATATCCGACATTGGTACCAAAACCCCGGAACATCTGAAACCTCAACAATAACCCCCTACCCAAAGCAATACGTATTGTAAGCTCTACAGCCCTAGTTACTATAGCATTGTATCCTATAACCGGGTAGTAACAAAAACCGTCTGAAGCCCTGAAGCCAGGTGTTGAATAGCCAGACTTTTCAGCTATAGCCTCTACACAACTATGGTATGACATACTCCAAAAAACCTTACCCTCACTGTTAAGGGCACCACAAACCCAACACCCGAAAACCTTTAAATCCCCCATGCCAACCCCTAAATGAATCTCCGTAAAGGAACCTTGTTCCAATTATTGAGGCCGCTATGGTTAGTGGTATAAATCCTGCATTACCCATAATAAGGAATATACCATGATTCCCATGGCCTAGGGTCATTATTAATTATTACAGTCGCCTAAGACATCCGAGGGCCCGGGTTCGTGCACAAGTAAGCTTGAAGTTCTTGAAGAAATCAAAGGACGTAGTAAGCAAGGCGACCAGTACATGAAGTGGGATCATTTGCAAGTATGTGTATAGTTACCTTATTGTTGCTATAGTCTGAGTACTAACTTTCACGATCCTGTATCTAGCCCCCAAAACAACCCATCAAGCACCCTAGACGAGCCCAAACACACCCACAAGCACCCGGTACACCGGCGGCTCTGTGCATATACGGCACAGTTATTGGTGACAAATGCAGCGATTACGGCTGAACAGTTCACGGTTAGGGTTTATGGCCGAGTTTGCTGTCGAGGCTTTAGGGTACCTTACCTTAAGGGTCCAAGTAGCTCCTATTTATGGTTTTTGGTACCTAAAAAGGCCTTAAAGTCCTATAATAGGGAGTACTTGGACCCTCTGGGGTAAGGTTTAGGCTCCGGGACTTGGTTGTGTTTAGACGCGTAGATTAGATACCTACACATCAGGTCACCCCCCATGACGCCCTGCAATAATTACTACAGCATAGCAACGATAATATGGTGCAGGTCGCTGGGCTTCTAGTGTTTAGGGATTTATTGTTATACGACAAAATGAGTTTGGGTGGTTTGCTTTCCGCGACAGTTGTATTTCTACAAACCTCGGCTACTTCACACCACAACGGCGGACTAGTTGCAGTTGGACCTTCAACCCTAAACCCTAAACCCCTAAACCCTAAACCCTAAACCGTGACCTGTGTCCTAAAACCCTAAACCCTGTTTCGCATCCTAAAGCCCTGGGCTGTCAACCCGGATCTTACAAGCCCTGAATAGCCTTAGTAACTGAGTGGATACACTTTACACTTTTTGGGATAACATTACCCACAATGAGACTAAAAGTGTACCTTTTTTGGGGGCTTATGAGTTCAGCAACTAAGTAGCTCAACCACATAAGCCCTAAATCGCCCGAAGTCCTTACCCCCCGATACACCCGAAAACTTAAACCTAAAACTTCAAGCGAAGCATGTGGAGACCTCAGAGGCATCGCAGCAGTGGGGGGCTTCCTCTTCGTGCTGGTTTGTCCGAATCCTAAGGGTCCAAAGGGCCCAGTTTTTCAGGTTCTATAAGGGTTCCTTGAAAGGGTTCTATAAGGGTACTACAAAGGGTTTAGGTTTTTAGGGGTTTGGGGTTTAGGGTTTAGGGTTTCAGGTTCTATAAGTGCCTCAAAAGAATTAGGTTTCTAGGGTTTAGGTATCCAAGAGGTCATAAGGACTTAGTATTATAGGTTCTATAATTGTTTTAAAAGGGACCGAAGAATTGGGGTTCTGTAAGGTTTCTATTCAGGGTTCTACAAGGATTCGACAATAGTTTTAGAGGAGTTTAAGGGTCCAAAGGACGTAGCCATTAGTTCTTTCAGTATGCAGCCTCGCATCTGGAAGGGGATTCCAGAGATCGATCCGTGAAGTATGCGGAGGAGCTGAACTGGCTTCTTCCAGGCACCCCCCAAGCTTTTGAAGCGATTGCCCAACTTTTCAATCGTTTCGGCAAGTACGCTCTTCTTGCGTACATACGGGGGCTATATGCTCGGAGCTATGTCTCGCACGTGGAGGTGCGGGCCACTGCCTCTGAAATAACGGCTTTTAGACTTGTCGAGGCTTAGGTCTAGGGCCTAGGGTTGTAAGGCCTAGTACACAGCAATACGATCTCCTTGTAGTGCATATCTAGTGCTTTCTACAGTACTATACTTAGTTTTGAACCCCCTGCCTGAGGGTTCTGAGGGATTTTGTCGCGGGATTTCTGCCTGGTCAAAGCCCCACGGCTTCAAGCACCCTAAACTAAGTTCTAGACCGGAGTGGAGACCTCAACAAACTTACGTTTTAAGGACTTATAAAATTATATAAGGAAATCATAAGTTTGAAGCCCAAATAATCCCAAACATGTAGTTTTTTTGGAGTTGCTGTGGATCGGAGTTGGAGTATGGGTTTCATTAGGGCTTTGGGTTCGTAGCTGTTGAAGTCATTCGTTTTGCGTTTAGACGTTACCCCAAGGATCCAAGTACCAAATAATCATATAATCTCCCAAATATGAACTTACATAACGACTACCTGGACCCCAAAAGTATGTATAATAATGGCCGTTTATAGGTTTTGGGCCATTATTTAACCTACTTTGGGGGGTCAAGGTATCTTAAACCCAAGTACCTTATTGTTGGGTCCTGTGGACCGTTGGGGTTAGGACGCCAACGCGCATGGGGCTCAGGACCTGTACGTGCCAAAGCCCACACTCACCTCTGCATCGTCCTTAGTTTACTACTATTTGCTTAAGAAACACCCAAAAAATAAAGATAATAATCCCTATATTACCACCATAAGGAATATATTTTTTATTTTTTGGGGGTTTCTTAAGCAAATAGTAGTTTAGGGTCGAAGGCTGAGGGTTGAGGAATTCTTCAGACCCGAAGCCCTTTTGCACTTCAATCCCGAAGCCTACCCCATATACACTCCAATCGCGAAGCCTGCAAACTCCAAAACTAAGCAAGCCCTAAAATCAATTTCCGTGCAAACCTTAAATATTACCCAAACCCCACACCTTGAAGTAACAAGTTACCATAATACCGGATTAAGGCTGATGTGCCGTACATCCCCCTGTTGACAGACCCAGCAGTGAAGCCTCAAGCAAGGCCCTATACCACCGCGGCACCCAAACCCCAAAACCCCGAATACATCCACTAAACCGCCAAACACTAAACCGTACATCTTTAAACCCCGAACCTCAAAGCCTTTTTGGATCCTTAGACCCTAACCCCTCAGCTTCTTGATTTACTGCCTTCGCCGTAATGGGGGGCACTTTAAAGGGAGCCCGTCATTATAGCACCCTGTAGTACCCTGTAAAGGGACCCCATTATGGAACCATTTAGTACCCTTTAACGGGAGCCCCCCGATCCCTCAACCCCAAAACCCCCAATCACAAGGGCCCAAACACCCAAACCCAAAACCGCAAACCCCGAAAAACTCAAGACCCTTCAACCCCCACTTGGAGGTTCATGGGTAGCTATAAGTGGAGTTATATATGTAGGGCAACTGTACTTATAACCCACGATAGGGGACTTATAGCTCCACTGATAATTACCCATGTCCAAGCAGAGCCCTGAACCCCAAATCCCTGCACCTGTAGACCCAAACGCAAGGCCCCTAAACCCTCAACCCTGAACCCATAAACCCTTAGCCTCAAATCCCAAATCCCTAAACTATAGTATCCTTAGGATATTCTGATTTTTGTTCATATAAACCCCAAGAGAATATTCAACATGTTATCTTTACTATGGTTCTAAGGGAGGTATAGTAAACTCTCGCCCTTAAACCCAAACGACCTTATCTCCCCAAACCCTAATGTGAACCCCACGCCGAGGTGCCTGTCTCATCAAAGCTATCTCCTGGCTTTACGGGCCGGATCCGTTTTGGGTTGAGGGGTTCAGAGTTCAGAGTTTAGGGGTTGGGGTGCAGAGCTTAGGATTTAGGGCTCAGGGCGTAGGGCTTTGTTAGGGGTTCCGAGTTCAGGTGTGTGCAGAGTTTAGGATTTGGGGTTTCTCCTGCATCGCGAGCTTGTGGCCATGTTTGGGGTTTCGTTTTAGGGATTTACAGCAGGTTTAGAGTTTGCTAACGATATGCCGCTAACCCCAAAAGGTCCAAAGTACTGTTATGGGGGATACTTTCCCTTATCATGGTAAGGATTCCTAATATAGAAACTCTACATTCATTGTGGTTTTAGGGTCTTGGATTTCGGCCTCTTCCTTCGGTGTGGGAGCGGGCCGTAGAGAGCTGAGGGCTTTGGAAGATGACAAAGGGTTGTAGCGGTTCTTAGGAGTGAAAACACCCTCCAGTGAATAATTTGCTTCGGCTTTTTCGACAGCTTTTTGAACGACGCCAGCTTGCCAGCTGTCCTTACGAATAGTCATCCTAGTAGTAGAGTAGGTAACCTTTAACCTTTTTTGGGTAGTATCGTCCCTATGTATTCCCTACATAACCAAAAAGGTTAACCTGTAGTTCCCCATGATACCCGACAAGTATGTCATTTAGGGTGGCTGAATCAATACCGGGACCATTCTTCAGGGCCCGTCGGCCTCCTTAATACATGTCAGATTCCCAAAAGCTCCATGCTCCTGGACCCTTGGAGTGAGGTCCCAAACCCCAGCCCCCAAAGCCGAAACCCTCCCCCAGAAAGCCCAAAACCCTCTTCGGAGCCCCAGGGTAGGCGTTAAAGTACCTTTGTAGGGACCCCTTAAAGGCCTAAGTGCCTACTATATGGGCACATGCAGTCTTAGGGATTATGAGACCACACAGCCTTGTTCTAGTTTATTGGGTTATTACGCTGTGGATTTTGCCATTGGTGCAGACCAAAGAAACCAAAACAGCTTGGTCCTGCGTGGGCTAATCCCGTAGTTTTCGTGTAACATTGGGGTCAGTCCTTCCAGCCCTTATATATAACATCATACCAGAATGTACCCCCCCAAACCCTCGTCTAACCCTTGCACTGAACCGATGGCAGCAAATCCTGGGATTTGAAAGCTTTTCAGAGAAACACCGAAGACCCGGGCACGCAGATCCTAAGCCCGCAACCCCCGACCCCTGAACCCGAAAGTGCGATGACAAAAATCCCTCAACCCGCAGCCCAGATAGACATTGTGTGGAGTGCAGGCGAAGGGAGTTAGAAGCCGTGGATGGCCGAACGGCCGATAGCAACGTAGTGGATGAGCAGGAGCCGGCTCTTTTACCGACATCAGGTCGGGTTTAGGGTTTAGGGTTCATGGCTTGGGGGTGAAATTATACTGTAGAGCCATCTGGGGCCGTAGGGAGGTTTAGTCATAGGGACCCTTACGGGGGTAGGGGGAGAGTAGGGGACTATACCTCCTTAAACAGGCCTTATCAGGTCCTTATTAGAGGTTTTAATGTCCTCTACCCCCCTCCCCCCTACCCCCCTAAGGTCAGGAAGTATTTGCCTTGGGCTTCGGGTTTCGACCTCCCACTGCTTCGTCAAGATGTCTTCGGGCCAAGGATTAGCCCAGGAGGAGCAGATGTCCGGCTGTTCAGTCTGAACCTCTCGCTATAGTCTCCTTACGAATTACCCCGGTCTTTTTCTTCACTCTAAGGGTCCATGTACCCAAATAGTATATACTTTGGGCCCAATGTCCCTATATAGGGACTACATTAAGGCCAATGTATATACTAGTTGGGTACATGGACCTTTAGGGTCATGTACAACCAATGAGAAGGTTGACAAATATGATCTTTAATGTGGTTCTAAAGGGGGTATAGCTCGATTGCTAAGAGGTCTCCTATTGTCCTACTGTGCAGCCTGTTGCGTCCCTTGACTTTTAGCCAAATTCCTTCCGCTGCCGCGAGTGAAGCCGATATCAAGCCAAGGGCTCTTCGAAGAGGGAATAGGATCCGTAGCTTTGCCAGCCATGCCAAAGAGGTTCTATGACGACTACTCGGACATGTACCTGAAGAACAGCAGTCTCCAAGGTCGCAAGCAGCACATGAGTGGACGACGCCACATCAACAACAAGATCGAGTACTGGCAGATGCTGATCCGAGAGAAAGGCTTGACGCCACCGATCTATCCTCCTCCTCCCGGAATCTTAGGGGCACTTAGAATATATTTTAATTTTTTGGTTGTTATAATCACGAAGAAACAGCTAAAATTACAATTTTTGCTAGGGTTTTAAGTTCAGTATAGTAACGCCAAGGGTCCAAAGGACTCATTTTTTGCTAAGTTCAGTATAGGAATGGTCTTGCCGATGCCAAAGCTGGCGGCAGCCAATCCCACGGCTCCAGCACTCGCCAAGCTCGGAGGGGTGCCTGGCATGGCGGGTATCCTTGGGGTACTTAGAAATATCTTTTAAGTTTTGGTTATTAAGAAACCTAAACCCTCAGCTCCAACTAAACATATTAAGCACTTATGGGTACTTAGTTTTTTTTGTTTTTTTGTTGTTATAATTTTTTGTTATTATAAACCCTAAGAAAGTGCTAAAATCATGATTTTTGCTAGGATTCTAAGTTCAGTATAGGTATGATGGGAGGACTGCCCCTCGGCTGCTCTGGGACACGCTTTTTTTGACTTTCAGATTATACCTATAGTCTCCATTGTAGTTTTTTGGTTAACCAGTTTTATGGTTAGGATCCTATAATAGAGATTTTGGTTAACCAAAAAGGGAACTACAATAGAGACTATAGGTAGTACCCGCGCGTGCACGTTCAGAAAATGGTCCATAAGACTGCGTATAGATCAGCAAATGTGTAGTCTCCAAGCAGCCCGCATGAACTGACTAGGAATGTGAAGCCGTCAATAATTTTCATAAGCGCCGACAGTAAAGCCCAAAAGTTGGAAACCCAATGGTTTCAATTTCGAAGAGTAATGTCTATAGGGAATCCCAGCACTAATTGACCTCAATCCCGTTTCCAAAGTTTTGGGGTTGACTATAGAAACACTGAAGCCTCAGAGTAGAGCAGAGTTCCCTTGAAAAGCTTTACAAAAACCTGACGAAATCATGCGCAATCCACTTCTCGCGAACTGCGTATTTAAGTGGCCCGACGAAAAGCACAGAAATCACGTATGCTGGAGTCCGCTAGAGACGGTAACCCGTAGAGACACCCGTTTCACAAGCCGAACCTGTAGCCACCAGACTTTGTTTGAGGAATTCAATCGAGAAACTTTCATAAGGAGCCCCAAACCCTTAACTCCACCCTAAAACCTAAACCCTAAACCCCTAAACCCTAAACCCTTAACTTAACCCTAAACCCCTCCTAAACAGGCAGGTGCTTTTGGTTGCAGGTAACGGCTGCTCGGAGCCCGAAGCCTTCTGAACAGAGTAACTCTTAGAAGCACCTTTCTCGACCTATAAAGTGCAAAAACATACTCACCAAAAACAAGCCACCTTAGAAATGGAATGCAAAAACCAACCAACTTCAATATGGAATGCAATTAAGCACAAAGTATCTTAAAACAGTGGTTCCCTTAACCCTAAACCCCTAAACCCTAAACCCCCAAACCCTAAGCCCCAAAACCCTAAACGCTAAACCCCTAAACCCTAAACCCCAAAACCCTAAACCCTAGACCCTAAACCCTAAAACCCTTAACCATGAACCCTAAACCTGAATTAGAAAAAGTGCGTTAACCAAATTTAAAAAACATGAATTAGAAGCACATCAGGCCTGGCATGGCAGGGATGATGCCCGGACTTGGTCTGCCTGGCGGTATGCCCGGACTCTTAGCCCATTTTGGTGGTACTACGGTTGATGATATAAATCCTGCGTGACCCATAATAAGGAATATACCATAATTCCCATAGTTTAGGGTCCTTAAGGTAGTGCAGGATTTATATCACCAACCGTACCAAGACCCCCCAATGGCCCCTCAATGGAGCCCTTATGGTCCTTAATAGTGGGTAAATAGGGTATGTTCAAGGGGAGTTGGGCGGTCTAAGTATACTTGGAGGTTCCTTTAAAGGGATCCATGAGGGTTCTACAAGGCTTCCTTCAAAGGGATTTATGCGTGGAGGTTCATGGGTAGGTATAAGTAGAGTTATAAGTCTCCTAATATATGCCATAATTATAGTTACCCTACTTCTAACCCACTTATAACCACCCATGAACCTCCAAGTGGGGTCCTTCTTAGTGGTCCAAAGCCCAACTGTTCAACCTTTGGTGCTGGTTGTATGGTAGCCTTATTCTAAAAGTTCGAACTCTTATCCTAGACGGCTATTTGGGAAGAAAGCCGTCAAGGGTGAGTTAAGAGTTCCGTTCCAGGTACCTGTTCGTGTACCATACGAGGTATCATCCTTAAACCCCCAAATTACTCCCCAAACTCTCAGAGGGTAGCCTTTAGTGAGGTACTATGGGGGTGCTGTAAGAGTTCCGCCAGGGTTTTATTGAACCCTACTAGTAGGACGTTCGGGTCTTAGGGTTTAAGGGGTTATGGCTGAATTTAAGCCCCCAAGGCTAATCCTAATAACTATACCTCGATACATAATCAGCTTTACTTCCTGTAGCATACTGGACTAATTGGTAAGGATTGCCAGTCCTTCAAGAATCCCTGTGTGTGTGTGGAGCTTGAACCTTAAACCCTAAGACCTGTACACCCGAAGCCTTGAACCCGAAGACCCTAAACCCTAAACGCTAAACCTTAAACCCTAAAAAAGAAACCTTAAACCCTAAACCCTATAAAGCCCTATAAGCCCTATAATCCCTATAACCCTAAGACTTGCAACCGAGGAATGGCTATGCCGAAGATGTGAGATCCAGATGCGAAGTGCTTTGCCTCTTCTGAGTGCGCCATGGGAGTGCCAGCCCGGTGATCCAAGAGCACTCGTTGAGTAAGGTTCCTTCAAAGGGATCTATAATCAGGGTTGTAATCATATGGGTTCTATAAGGGTTTGGTCGTTCATCGGGGTTGCGGACTTGAGGGGTTTAAAGTTTCAGGTTCTAGGGCTGGCAGGGTCTACGGTCCTTTTTCTTTGCTCAGAAGGTTTAAGTTCTGGGCATTTGGGGAATCGCTGGGAAGAAATATGTCGAGGCGAAAGTTATCGATTGTGCTGTGGCACAGCCGGGCAGGCAGAACCCAGCTTATATGAACAGCCAGGAGCAGTGCGCAGCTTGTGAGCGCATCTCCTGGTTGCTGTTTCATGATGCGCCTGTCTACCCGAAGATACGAAGTAGTCATGTCCAAGCTATTAACAGGGAAAGGAGTACTCACCACAACTCTAAACGCCAAGCCCTCAGTACACCCATGAAGAGGCGAAGGTTACAATCAACACGGGTTAGGAGCAGCTCTCGCTGATTGAGGGGTTTGACACCCAAACGTGGCTCGATAGGAGCTACTGTGGACAACTTGGCAACAGACCGGCATACCTTGCCTTTGAGGTGCTTGTGCTGGTGTGGTTTTGATTCGTTCTGATCCGACATGACAGCTCATCAATGTGCCAAGTTGTAGAATCTGAACGCGACGCTTTGCCAAGGAGGAAAAGCACCGGTGACCTGTTATGATGAGTAGTGGTTCTTGCTGCTTGTTTGCAGTGCATGCTGGGTAAAGTGACAGCATGATTTGTGCACTGTATGTATGAGTACTCCTTATGAGCGCCCTAACCCTAAGCCCGGAGCCCTGAACCCAGAGCATAACGAGCTGAGCCCCCAGTCTTGACGCCACCCTCTCAAACTTCGGAACCTGCACCGGGGTTCCCTTTGAGGCTCCTTTAATGGGCTTTTACAGGGGAATCCCTAAAACCTGACAAATCCTTTATGGATCCCGTTTCAAGGAGCCCGAATTAAAATAACCCTAAACCGCATCCCCCCACACCAAAATCTATAAGATCAGAAATCCTTTAAAAGGAACCCTTACAGCAGCCTTTCAAGGAGCCCTTTTAGAGAAACCCTCCATCTATACTAAAACCCTTACAGAACCCCTTTAAAGAAACCCTGTACGGCTCCCCTTTGCTCCGCTGAGCCTGTGCTTCGGAGGAGCGGGCTACCATCCTGGCTGAGGCCCGGGGGTTAGGGTTCAGGGTTTAGAGTTTAGGGGTTTAGGGTTTAGGGTTCAGGGTTTAGAGTTTAGGGGTTTAGGGTTTAGGGGTTTAGGGGTTTAAGGTTTAGCGGTTTAGGCTTTATAAAGGATTTAGGGTGGTTCCCGGGGGGGTTTGGGGTGTAACTTGCTTAGGCAATGGGAGAGAACTCAGCACTTTTTGGCCTGATGCTAGGATGCCCAGTAGTACCCTTAATCCTTTTTTGTAGTCCTAGGTTCCTTATAATGTTACCCAATACCAAAAAGAGAGGCCTTTTTATTCTTAGGTTACTGGGTATCCTAGGATGTGTTTCTATCTTTGATGTTGTTGAACATTCTTAGGCCTCGGGTTGCACTGAGGGTTCCTCGCACTGGATCTAGAAGGCTTTCGGGGGCTATGGTTAGGGTTGCCGTGTAATCAATGGGTCCACAGAAACTTAACTGAAGGCTACTATAGACTTACAGGTTTCGAGGTTTCAGGGGTTCAAAGTTTTTTGGTTCTGGCTTGCTCGAATTCGGGTCAGGGTTATTAGGGTTTGTAGGGCTTACGGTTGCAGGGCTCATTTTTCTGGGGATGAGGGCAAAGGGTTTCAGGGTTTAGGTCTAGTCTCACGGCTTTCGGTTTAAAGGTTTCGTTTGTGGCGCTGCGCTTTGCGTTAGACAGCTGTGGAGCCAGACATGCGCGACCAGAAATCCAGCAAGGCATCATCTACCAGTCCTTGGAGGATCATGGGACTTAGTAAGTGTGGTTATAAGTACCTCAATTAGGGTTATAAGTACCTACAAGTCTAGTTACCCTAATTATAACCCTAGTTACTATGTCCCATGATCCTTTAAGTAGACCCTAAACCCTAAACCCCATACATCCCTTTCCCTAGGGATCTAAGGACTCATATATTAAGGCTTTTGGGCCCAAAGACCATGCTATAGAAGGCTTTTGGGCTATTGTGATCCCCAGGGTTTGAGGAACCCCTATACCCTAAACCCTAAACCCTAAACCCTAAACCCTAAACCGTTTAGGGGTTTAGGGTTTAGGGTTTAGAGCCCTTTTAAGGAGTACGGCGAGGCCATGGGGCCACGATGAAAAGCAGCCGCGGGTGGTTGTCAAAATTAAGGTCTCTTTTTGGGTACCCTAGATACTAGGTGCCGTATTATAATAGCTAGGATGCCCAGTAGTACCCTTATTCCCTGTTTGTAGTCCTAGATTCCTTATAAACGTACCCAATACCAAAAAGGGAGGCCTTTTTTTTCCTAGGTTACTGGGCATCCTAGATAGGGACCCAAAAGGGGACCATAAATTTGACGACCATCCTCGTATTTCCGCGGGGTACGACATTCCCTTTCGAGTGAGGACTGCACTGCCCAAAGGCCCGAAAGTAGTTCCTTTTTGGGGTTCATATTTAGAATTCTATAAGGTAATCCCAAAAAGGAACTACTTTGGGGTCTTTGGGTGTAGCTCATTCTACAAGCCGTGCAGATTCTGCGCAAGCGTCTAAAGTAAGGTCCAGCAGAGAAGGCCAACATGAAAGGAGTGGATTGCTCTTTCAGCGATCTCACCCACGGCCTCACTGGGGCCGTCTCGGCGATGATGGAGCCGCGGCCATGAAGAGAGCAACTCTTTGTGCAACTCTTTGTCAAGCCTTGCAAAGGTCCTTTCGGGTTTGGGGCAGCGGCCTTTGCTCTATGATGCCCTGTGCTACGGTTGATGATCTAAATCCTGCATTACCCATAGTAAGGAATACAGCATTTTTCCCATAGTTTAGGGCCCTTAAGGTAATGCAGGATTTAGATATCATCAACCCTAAACCCTAAACCCTATAGATCCCTTAAAGGAACCCCTATAAACGTACCCTTATAGATCCTTTTGAAGGAACCCTAGGATTTATATCATCAACCGTAACACAGGCGTTTCTCTGACTTAAAAGGAGGAGGGATGTGGGAGTTTCCAAAAATAGGGGACCCTAATATGGTACCCCAAATAGTAGGATCCTTATTTTAAGGACCTCCAAATTAGGTACCCTTATTTTCGGAAACTCCCATGTGGTCAACGGCAAAGGAGCAGCCTCGAAGTCTCAAGGTTACTGCGAGTACTTTAGGGCTCCTTAAAAGGGCTCCTTTAAAGGGGTTCCTTAAAGGGATGTATGGGGTTTAGGGTTTAGGATCTACTTAAAGGATCATGGGACTTAGTAACTAGGATTCCTTAAAAGGGATCTATAGGGGTTCCTTAAAAGGATGTATGGGGTTTAGGGTTTAGGGTCTACTTAAAGGATCATGGGACTTAGTAACTAGGTATATATTTAGGGTAACTCGACTTATAACTACTTATAACCCCAACTAAGGCACTTATAACCTTACTTACCAAATCCCATGATCCTCCAAGTATGTCATTTAACCCCAACCCTACACTAAACTAAACCCTGAGCCCTACAGGAGGTTCCCCAACCGTAAACCACCCTAAACCCTAAAAATTCACGACAAGAGGGTGAGGGACGTTTGACTCTTGGGCGTCCGAGAGACTGAGGAAACTTAAGGGGCCGTAAGACTGATATAGTATCCCGAGGGTCCATATACACTACCATTATGGAATTAGTTGCCAAAAGACCATCCTGATTATGGATGTTGGGGCCTACTTCCATAATGGTGGTGTATATGGACATTCTGGGGTAATGTGGTATTTCTTAGTTGTCCAATACCCAGCCTTGAAACTTTTTGGGTTCTTATAGTTTAGTAGTAATTTGAAAGTTCACCCTTTATTCTGTGGCTTATTGAGGAAGTAATTATAAGTAAGTAGAGTAAAGATGTAGGATTTTACTTGGTGCTTGTGTGGATTGTAGACGGTTTAGAGGCCGGTGGACTTCGGTGGTAGGTTAAACAAGTGTAGTCGGTACCCCGAGTGTGGTCATGTCTCAGTAGCAAGCTTACCTTCTAGCTCTCTTGGCAAATCTCCCCCTGAGGGTCCATGTACCTATATACCATATACTTTGGGCCCAATGTATCTATATAGGGAGTGCTTTAGGGCCAAAGTATATGCTATATGAGTACATGGACCCTCAGGGTCCCCTTGAGGCAACCATCAAACTCCTAAATCCTATGCCTGCATCCAAAATAAGTCCAAGCTAACATGCTGCAGCCCCTAATCTAGGGGCCTAAATAATTACCAATACTATTTTTGGGGGGGTTCCTCACTATAACTGTAGTATCATGGGCCTCAAAACCATATTCTAATCATTAAGGCCCCTATGTTGTGGAGATTCCTGGACCCGGTGTCCTGGTTAGGCCTGATCAACTAAACTTGGACCGCACACCCACACTGCAAGCTGTGAGCCCTTTGCCTTTTTATCCATGTTGATGTTGCTGGCCTCTGATGCATAAGCAGGATCGCACTTCAATGAGCACACGGCACCGTTTATTAGATTATTAGTCACTGCACCAATGGAAGAAGTCACTAAGCATCTGTCTTTGCGGCAGGTCTACGGCAAGCCAGACGATAGCATGGAGGCCTGTCTTCTAGACCATTACATCACGTGGGTTTTAGGTTACGTTGACGAAGGTTCAGTCTCGTGGAATACTTGAGGTAGGATCAGGCACTGAGTGGTAGATCACATAAGTTGAGTGCTCAGGGCTCTATGTGTCCTTTTGGCTAGCTATAGCCTACACCTGTACTGAAGACGTCATCCTCTGCTGTTCCCAGGTCTTTTTTCGCTCCGAGGCTCTGTTGAAAATGAACCGTAGCCAGGACACAACACTACCTTAAGGCTCCTGATGGGGTATTTGGGGTGTAAGCTTTAGGGTTTAGGGCTAGGGCCTCGGGTTTAGGATAGTTCAGGGCATGGGGATTGCCATTACCTAGGCTCCTAGGACGGTCTGATAGCCTTCTGCGAGGATTTCGCTGTTGGGGGCCAGGTTTCGGGATCTCACTACCAGTGGCCGGGACCCTATTTTGGGCCCAAAGACCATACTACCCTAAGGCCTTCGCGCTACGTTGAGCCTTGGGCGAGGTGGGGTAACAAAGGGCCCTTCATAATTGCCTCTACTCGTTTTGGGGTTCCTTATTCTAATAGTATAATGTGCCCAAAACCCTATTCTATTTATTAGGGCCTTTATATTAGAAGCAGTAGCGCTTTCAAACAACACGAAGGTGGAGCTAGGCCGGAGAGGTCGGTCCTTACCTCGAGCTCCCAACTCAAACTTCCGTGCTAAAAGCCCTGGAGAACCCTGTGGTGTTTAGGGTTTAAAGTTTAGGGTTCCGCAACACGGACTGGTGGCCAGGTCTCTGCACATTATGCACGAGTATGGTATAATGCCCCTCACCCCCAAATCCTGGAGCCCTTCCAGAAACCTGCGCAAGGCTTTCAGGGCTTGCCTGTCTCTCCAGAACCCTAAGAAATAGTAATAGTTCGCTATCAGCCCTAGATAACCGGATAGATCCCTAAACCCTACAAGCAAAAGGTTTTGGATCCCCAGGTGGGTCTTCAAGGTGCAGCACTCTTTTCCCAGTAGGGTTTAGGGGTTTGAGGGTTTAGGGTTTAGGGTTATGGTGGTGATGGAGGGCTGCCATGGGGGTGTCAGGGCTTTTGTTTAAGACGTTTGTATGAGGTATATCTCTTCGGATGTTATCGGGCTTTACACAAGTTTTAGGGTGCCCAAAGAGTCCAAACAACCAAGCCTCGAGAATTAAAACTGTCATGGAACCGAGTTGCATATATCCACATATATCCGACATATACAGTGGGTTGTGGTTGTTGTTGTTGTATTCCTGCAGGTACTCAAGAAAGGCCACTTGAACCCTAAACTGTAGCCCAAAACCCTAAACCCTTAAACCCTGAACCCTGCTCCAAAATTCCTCCAACGGAGCCCATATGGGATGGTTGTACGGGGGGTCTGGGCAAACCCTGACCCCCCTCGCCCGAAACCCTGAACCCTAAGTAGCGCGAAACCCACACGTATCCTTCTCCTGGAGGTAGAGTAGGTAGGCAACCTTTAACCTTAATTGTTGGGTACCCGAATCCCAACATACTCCCAAAGGTTAAGCTTTAGTTTTCCAGGATAGTCGAAAAGTACGTATATTCCCTAGCTGAGTCCCACTCATCCAGGAGTTGGGCGACATCGGCGATGAAGCCGCACTCGAGAGGGTGCCCTGAAAATGCCCGTTTCTGGTGCGACTGACCGATCGGATTCTGATTCTGAATGAGGCCTTAAACCATGAACCCCTTAATCCTAAGGGTCTTAGGTTTTAGGCTTTTGGTTGTAGGGCTTAGGGTCTTCGGGTTCAGGGTTTTGGCCTTAGGCTTTCGGGTTTAAGCTTCAGGCTTCGGGTATTTCTGGGATTAGGGTGCAAGTCCAGTTGGCTGTTGGGTGCTCAGGGTGGCAAGTCGTCCAATGTTCGTAGTTCAGGGAATGTTTCGATTCATACGTAAAGATACATTTTCCCCAAGAGCCCAGGTGCTCCCCAAAATTGGATTATTTGGCCTTTCAGGGACCAAAAACCATGAATAAGGACTACTTGGACCCTTGGGGTTCCGGTTTAGGATCAAAGGATCTGGCCTAATCTAGCCCGGAATTTGTCACTGCCCCTGTTCTAGGCACTGCAATCTGTAAGACTCCTCAATCCTCAACGCGCAAGCCTTACTTGAAGGGTTATTTGGCTTGAGAGCAGTGTTGCAGCTGCTCTTAGGGCTACTTTGGGCAGCAGCCAGCATTATAGTGCACCCCCAAAAGTTGGAAGGACAATTAGTGCTGAGATTCCCTATACACTGCTCTTAGGGACTGAGGCTATTGGGTTTCCAACTTTGTGGTTTTACCGTATGACCTGTTTACCCTGTTCTCTAATGCATCGGGGGCCTTATGTCGGCGAAGCTGACACAGGTCGACTCCATACTCCAGTTGTAATGGCGTCAATCTACTATGCGTCCTTGAATTCTCACTTTCCACACATGTGCGCGACATGTTGCACGAAATGTTATCGGTGTCTGACATTGGAGAGGTTTTTGACCTTGTCAGATTGTCCAAATATGCCGATGACAACAACATCGGGCTGCCGGCTATTTGCGAAGAAGTCTTTGACCCTGCAAACTTGGATGACTTTTATGCATCCCATGTTGGCATGGAGGTCAAAGTATCGTCTTTCAGACGGAAGCGGGTCGCAACAATCCTGGGCATGTTGAGTACAACTCGCGGTAAGTTCCGCAGGTTCACGGGAGGTACGTGGTTTACCAACCGGCAAAGCATGGGCCGAGTATCTTGTTCTATCTTGAACGTTGTAAACCGATGGCCCATCATGGCGGAACCGTCTGGCGGCCCGGGTGACGGCGGTCTACCTTGAGAACTTTTTCAACGGCATGGTTCGTTCCGCTTGTGAAGCGTTGTCTAAGGATGTCAATCTGCACAATGTTCAGATCGACTGGACCAAGGAGGGTGCTCTGCCTCTCTTACTGACCAAGGCCGCCAGCAGGGATCTCCGAGACCCGCAAGCGGTTTGCACCGTGGTTCGGCACGTTTCCAAGTGCCAAGTCATCTCGACGCAGTGGCTTCCGCCACTGCCGTCACTCTCTAGATTCCCGGAGTCCTACAAATTCTACACCTTTCAACCCCCTGAAACCTACGCCCTAGATTTAAAAATCACTGAACCCGACGCCTCGGGAATGGCTAAGTGCTAACCCCTAAAACGTCCGGGAACTCTTGACCAGAAACCTCGGAACTCTGTACTCCCTAAACCCTCAGTAACACCCATGGCAACCGTGATGTAAGCCCCCTTGTAGAACCGCTGTACTTCCCCCAAACCCAGATTCAACCCTGATGTCAACCCGGATAAATCCGTAGAACCGCTAAATCTTAAACACCCATAGACCCCACCATTGAGGTTCTCCTCGAGCCCCGAAACCCAACCCTTAGATAGATTCATCCCACCGACATACAGCCCTATAAACCCATATAGAGCGCTGAAAACCATTAAGCCGTATTTTCGGGGCCCTTAAAGAGAAACCCCAATAGAAAATCTTACAGGAACCCTGAAACTAAAGCTTCAAGGAACCCTCAACAGGAATTCCTTCAGAACCCTGAATTCGATCGTTACAAGAAGCCGCAAACACCTTAAACCTAAAACCCTTAAACCCCTGAAGCCTCCGAGGGCCCTAAAGCGTAAATCCTTAACCTACTATTTGCTTAAGAAACACCCAAAAAATAAAAATAATAATCCCTATATTACCACCATAAGGAATATATTTTTTATTTTTTGGGGGTTCTTAAGCAAATAGTAGCAACCCAAACCTTCAAGGCAACCCTAAAGACTCCTGATGCGGAGGCCTGGAAGGCCATCGAACGCGCCGCCTCCTCGGACGAGGAGTTTGATGAGGCGGAACACAGGGCTGGAAGGGGCCAAGTTTTTGCGTTGGTTGGTTTAAAGGATTGGGGTTTAGGGTTTGGGGTTTGGGGTTTAGGGTTTGGGGGTTTAGGTGCGACCTGGACCCCCAAAAAACCCACCTTTGTAAGGACTTACATTTATATGAGGACATCAAAATAAGATACCCTAAAAAGGTCGGTTTTATAGGGTCCAGGGGTTGAGGATTCCCGGCTTCGAGGTTTAAGCTTTACGGTTGAGGGGTTTTTAATGATTCCGACCCTTTGAAATTGTTGAGTCCTACAGGGCTCTTACGAGTTTTCAGGGTGTTGGTAGCATGTGTTGCTTAATTTTGGAGGTTTGCGATCATGATTTCTTGGAATATTGTTTTAGCTTTCAGGTCTTTTCAAGTTCTTTATCGGCTCTGTATAGTTGTGGAGGTGTAGAAGGGCAAAATCGGCTCACCAAGATTCGGATGGCTTACGAGGTCTTCCGCCACCTGGAGCTGCTCACCGACGACCTGAAGGGGTGTCTTCGTGCCGCTGGCAACGAGCAGATTCGGCGCCTGCTCGGTCTGGGCCACGTATGCCTCTTCACAATGGACGCCCATTACGCTCTTCGCATCGCCGCGAGGGACAGGGCGCTTGAGATGGCCAAGGCACACATGGTGGACCAAGTCCCAGGCACCCATTTATCTGGCAGGAGACCGATTGGATTCTTGGAAATTGAGGTGGCCTGGCAAGCCAGAGATTTGAAGAAGGCATCAGACGAGATTGGCGAAGAATCTTGGATGATAGGATGATGTAATGTTGACCTTCTGTGGTCACTGGATCCTATGCAGTCTTTGCCCTCCTTCAATAACTATCTCCAGGTGTCCAAAGGACCCTATTTGGGAGAGTATATGATAATTAGGTACTTGGACCCTTAGAGTATTCGCCATCGGGGTAAAACCGCCGCTAGAAGCTCACAGCGATACGACCTGGAAGCACAGCTGCACAAAAGCATCCGCAAGCAGGCGTGGAAGGACAAAACCCAATGAGGAATTGCATTGGAGACTATAGGTACCCAGAGATTTCAATACCCCAACGTGGAGTATGCTTTAAACCAGAATCTTGAACCCCTGCAGTGAGACTTAGAATGATTAATGCTGGGATCCCCTAATTTAATACAGGACCTTCGCTTTGAGGGCACGTGGAGACTGATGTTCCAACTTTTTCGGTTCTCCTATATATATATATATATATATATATGTATATATGCCGAGAGAGAGAGAGAGAGAGAGAGACTCATAAGTCAAGCCTTCACGCTCCATGTACCCAATGTATACTTAGGTCTTAAGCAGTTCTTTCATAGTTCTACTATAGTGTCCCCCAAAACCCTATTAAACATAACTATGGCCCCAATGTCTTTCGGCTTTAGAGAGTTGGAGGGGCTTTAGGGGTTTTAGGATTCCAGTTAAGGTTTCGGGGGATCGTTGAGTTTCATGACGTTCGGTGTTTGATGAAGCGTTCTTGAGTCAGGGCTTCGTGCTTGTCTACGGTTCCAATAAATAACAGTATTGTTGTCTTTGGCCCACAGCCCAGCCTCAGAACCAAATTCCTACCGTTGAGCTGAGCTTAAGGATAAAATGTTGATTACTCATGGATTCCTCATAGAAACCTGACTAAAAGCGTGATGAAAACAAATGTAACGCAATTATTCACCTGAGCATTTTCGGTTGCCCTCCGCCAAGCCCGACTTCGTCTTGTTGTTGGCGTTTGTGGTTTGGGATTCAGGGATTGAGGCTTAGGGTTTTAGGCCCTAATGCATTGCTAAATTAGGCTATTTGGGTTCAGGCCTGCCCTAAGCCCTTCCTATATTGGTCAGCATTGGTCTCAATGGTAGCCTGTTACCCTGCCTTGTCTGCTAGAGGATGCTACAGTCATCACGAGGTTGGTGAAACGAAAATGTCTTAAGCAGCTACAGCGAAGACTCTGGCAACATCCCAGATCCTACAAGTCCTCAGCCTGTAACCTTAGCCTTACAGTCTATAAGCCCTACACCTCAAACCCTTTAGACCTTAGGCTCTCAACCCCAAGCCTTAATCCCTAAACCCAAACCCGAACCTTATGTCCCCAACCCGAAGACATAAACCCTAAACCGTACCCGGCAGGTGGAGTTGCAGCCCACGACGTCTGAGGCGATGGCTCTCTGTGCCCATTAAGTCCTGTGTCTCCCAGCGCTGACTTTTTCCCTTTTTGTGGTCTTAGAATCCGAACCCTAAGCCCAATACCAAAACGGGAGCCCTTTCTTGCCGGCGGGATTATTGGGGGTACTAGAATCTGAAGGGGTTGGGGTTTAAGATTTAGGACCCGGAGACTCCAAACTGTATCCTTAAGTACATATGATGTGAAGCATTTGTAGGCTGATAAGTTTTGGAGTTTCCGGGCCGTGTACACCGTATACCGAGCTTACAACCCCCCAAACCCTTAACAACTTTTGAACCCCAAACCCTAAATTTCAACACCTTGTAATTTGCACCAAAACCTTATGCAGATCATGAATGCCGCAAAAAACCCAAAATCTCTTGCAAAAAGCCCCTGAAGGAACCTTTTCAAGAAATCCTACTCTCATTATTCAGGCCCTTAAACCCTAAACCCTGAATCCCCTATTATGTCCCTTCCTAGTAGTAAGTGCTCCAATTATGAAGGCCCTTAAGCCCTTGTTTATAGAACCCTGGTTTATTAATGAAGGTTCTGCATTAATCATGCGCGCTGTGGCCTGGCGCACATCAGGGTGTGTGAGGCGACACTTTAGGGTTTAGGGTTTGGCGTTTAGGATTTTGGTTTAGGGTGTGGGTTTAACTATGGTTTACGATTTGGGTTCAGAGTTTATTTAGGATTTGGGTTTAGGGTTGAGGGTTTTTGGGGGGCTGGAATCTTGGAGCGATTTCCGGAGGCCCAGGCCGCGATCCGTGAGGGTGGCTGGGGTTCAGGCGAGGCTCACAAGAACGGACTCCCCGACGAAGTTCTGGGCTCTTGGTGTTCATTTTCAGGTACATATGAAGGAAACCATGTTATTTACTATAGATGAATGAGATCCCTTAACAAGAACCCAGGATTCGAGTGATTCTGTCCATCCCGGCACCAAAATCCAGAATGCAGGCATGCATTGTTGGCCGTGGCAACAGCCCAGGGCAAGCTGTCTGGTCAGACGATAGAGGAACTGGAAGCCCAACAGCAAGGCAATACCCAAAATGAAACGTGCTTCTGCTTCTGCTAGTCCTACTATGACGACTACTACTACCACTGCTAGTGCTGTTGCCACGGCTTCTCCTATACCCTCACTACCACTGCCACCGCTAGCAGGCACTACGCTTACCACTGAGCCTAATGGCCAGGCATATTTTGGGTTAGCACCTTTTCTGCACCAGAAACAGCCTTTTACCCTAAGCTCTGCTTTGAACTGTTTGGCCTTATATAGTTGGTCTATCATTGAAAGTTTGAGCCTTTTTTGGATTTTTTTGAAAACGATAGTAAAATCAGGGGGCTTAGATGACATTGAGCTCTGGGCCAGGACGCGCACCTCTCCCAAGAGACGTTACATGCCATCCGAGGCAGCCGAGCTCTGCAGGGTTTACAGGTTTAGGGGTGTACAGGGCTCACGGTTTGAAGAGGGGTTTAGGGATTTAGGATTTAGGGTTTGTAAGTTTAGGGGTCTAATTGTAATTAGGGTTTAAAGTCTACGGTTTTGGGATTTTAGGGGGTTAGGGTTTAGAGATTTAGGGTATAAAGGTTTTTAGGGATATAGGAAGCGCGTCACGCAATGAAGCCATTCGCGTTCGGAGCTGAAAAGCCCGCCTCCCCAGAACCCCCCTGAAACAAACGGTATGTGTTTAGGTCCTCAGGCAGAGTTTAGCAGCTCAAAGCGCGAGACCAGGTAACAAAATCTTAAACCCGGGACCCCGGCCATTCAGAGGTGGAGAGCTTGCTGTCAAGCAGCCCAACCCCTGTCAGGTTTGCAGTTCACGGCAGCTCAAGGTGAAGGGTTTCCCAAACTCAAAGCCTGGAATTCCAAGCATCGAGCCCCGAGCAGTACATCACCATGTGACAAGACATGACATGACTGGGCATCCATGTCTTGTAATCGGAATGTCACTTGGAGGGCAAGTCTGCCGGCAACCACGCTGATTCCAGCTCCAACAGCGTATACTAAAGTTGTTGTGACCCCTGCGAACCTGAAGCCCTACCTTAACCTTGAAGAACCTACCTTTTTTTCGGGTTCTTTATTATGAATTCTTTTTATAAGTCCTCAAAAAGGTGCGTTATTCCGGGTTAAGGTAAACCCTGAACCCGAAACCCTAAACCCGAAACCCGAGCTTGAGCATTGCCAGGCGTAGGGTCCGGCCACAAGGGCCGAGGTAGCTGTGCGGTATAGTGGTCGTTAAAGTTAGGGTTTCTTTTTGGGCACCCTATTATTAGGTAATTATTAGGTGCCGTACCCCAGAGGGTCCAAGTATGTCCAAGTACTCCCTATTATAGGACTTTACGGCCTTTTTAGGTACCAAAAACCATAGATAGGAACTACTTGGACCCTTAGGGTACTATATCAGGGACCCAAAAAGGACCATAATTTTGACCACCACCCATATACTCAGGCCTTTACGAGATTCTGGGAGCTCCTGGTGTCCCAAAGGGTCCTATGTACTTTGATGGGGAATAGTTCCCTAAGTCATACTGTTGATGATATAAATCCTGCATTACCCATAATAGGGAATATACCATAATTCCCATAGTTTAGGGTCCTTAAGGTAATGAAGGATGTATATCATCAACCGTAATATAGCAGTTCCTAATATGAAAACCCTACATTCTACTACATCGTTACATAGGGCCCTTTGGGTGTGGGGTGTGGGTTCGAAAGTCCGGAACCAGGCGCGAAGCCCCCTAAGGTTCGAAGAAGGTGGTGCTTGAAATCCAGGCACAGAAGAGAAGCTAAAACAACTCTAGGGGCTGAGTACTTGGAGGATCATGGGACTTAGTAAGTAAGGTTATAAGTACCTGAATTAGGGTGATAAGTAGTTATAAGTATAGTTATTGATCATAACCCTAGTTACTAAGCGCCATGATCCTTTAAGCAGGTAACCTTTGAGACCTTTTGGGCTTATATAATCCTATTAGTTATCATGCGAAAGGTTAACATATTTGGGGCTAGGGTACTCAGCCCCAAAGCAACAACATCATAAAGCTTACGTGATCTAATTTCCGAGACCCTTGTCTACTGAAAGCAAGGAAGAGCTCAATCTTCCGAGTTTTCGCTTCAGGTTCCAAAAAAGGCCGCAAAACCCAAAACCCAAACCTGGAGTTCGAAACCTGGAACCTTATATAAAATCCCAAAACCCACGAAAAAAAACAAACCCTAAACCCTAAACCGTGACCTTTAAGCCCAAGACCTTGAAAAGCTTCAACAACCCTTCAGCAAGAAGTCTAAACCCCAGACCCTCAAACTCCAACCCTCTCAGGAGTTGTCAACGAGGCCGGGAGTTGGATTGGGGAGGTCCCTCTGCCTTCCTGAAAGATGCCCCAAGGTCCTAGGTTCTACCGGTTTGAGAACGGCGTTTTGGGCAGGAGTTGAGGATTTTGGTTTAGGGTTTACCTAGAAGTAGGTAAAATAATGGCCCAAAGCCTGTAAAAGGCTATTGTTCTACATACTTTTGGAGTCCAGGTACGGTTTCGGTGGTGGGTTCTGCTTGTTTTCGTCCCAGAAAGGCGTTGCAAGGTTCTACAACGTTTGCAGGTTCTATCTTATTGGTCCAAAACCAAACTTTTCAATTTTTGGGCTCTTATGAGGTAGCCTTATTCTGAAAGTTTGAACTTTTAAGCAAAGGGCATTTTGGCTTCGGCTATTCATCAGGGTCTTAACAGAATTCATGACAGTTCGACAAGGATAGCCAGCGGTTTCAAGCTTAATATGCCCGAAGCCTGCTGTTTTGGTGGCTGTGAGCAGGCATTGTCCAGAGAATGCCATGTTTGTGATTTTTACTACTGAGTTTGTTGTTCAAGAGTTTATAAGGGCTGCAATAGAACCGAGGGTAACGGACGATCCCCAAAATCAAACACCGATAAATTCGCTACATTGTACCCATAGCCCAGAGGATCCAAAGATACTACCACTATGGGATTCGGAACTAGGCCCTCAGAAACCACTATAAAGCATGGTTTTGGGGGGGAGCTTAATTCCATAGCTTTATGGAACCTTTAAGGGAACACTATAGAGTTTTGAAGGAACGCTCAAAGGTAGTGTATATGCCTAGACACCCCAACTAAAGCTTGTAGTCTACCCGAAATACATTGAGGACCATACGGGCTCCATTAAGGGGCCATTGCGGGGGTGCTGGTATGGGGGTTTCCGAAAACAGGGGTACCTTATTTTGGGGTGCTTATAATAACGATCCTATTATGTAGGGTACTATATTAGGGTCCCCTATTTTCGGAAACTCCCGTATGGACCCTTTTGGATAAGCTAAAACTCAGCCCACAAGGATGACATAACGGAGCCGGAGCGAGGGATCGTTTACACGTGCAAACCCCTACAGCCCTAAACCCTAACCCCAATCTTAGGCCTTAAAACCCGAAAGCCCTAAACCCTACACTTAACCTTCAATCTCGAAGCCTAAACCCTTAAGGCCCTAGACCCTACTTGGAAGGGCAGGGGACTTAGTAAGTAGGTTATAAGTAGGGTTATAATTGGGGGTAACCCCATTTAGGGTACTTATAACTCTACTTATAACCTACTTACTAAGTCCCCTGCCCTTCCAAGTACACGTTACCTTCGATTATTCAAGCCGAAGCCCTTAAAGCTGAAACACTACCAGACTGTCGGTTGCACGAGCCTTTCAGTCATAGCATCGTGCACAACCAGCCGAGACTCCTAAATATTCCTGATGTAGGAACCTGATCAAGAAACCTTGGGCCTTTAGGGTTTTTTGTTTGAATCGTACTACTTGGAGGGTTTTAGGGCCAGGGTTTCTTAATCAGGTTCCTGCACTAAACCCTCGTCAATTTCAGCCATGTCGAAAGTGGGACAGCCTGAGCAGTCCGAAGCCTGAACATCCTTTCGCTTGTTGTTGTTCGGGGGCTTACAACTAATACTATATTGCAGGAGTTATCAAATGTTTCTTGTTGATATATTTTACGAGGAATCGTGTATGTTTAGCATCGTTACCTATTTTAGTTGTAGAGTCAGGGTTTATGGTTCACGCTTCCGTGTCTAGGGTATACCTAGACCCACAAAAGTAGGTAACATAATGACCCAAAACTTATAAAAGGCTATTATTCTACACACTTTGGAGGTCCAGGTAGGGTTTTAAATTTCTTCAAGAAGCGTGACAAAGTCCTGCTGTTTGCCTCTAGCTCTAGCCATCCCTTTCTCCGACGCTGCAGATGGTTCCAGCCATGTTTTTGATGTGGTTCTGGTAGGATTCTTCGGCTGCTGCTAGTTGCTGGTACTTAGGCTGTAAAGTACCTCCTTTAAGGTCTAAATACCTACTATATGGGTACATGGAGCCTTTGGGAACATACTTGGAGGGGCAGGGGATTTAGTTAGTGGGAGGTAAGTAGCATGATAAGTACCCTAAATGGAGTTGCCCCAACTATAACCCTACTTATAAACGGCTTACTAAGTGCACTGCCCCTCCAAGTAGACCCTAAACCCTAAACCCCATAGATCCCTTTAATAAGGAACCCTATAGATCCCTTAAAGAAAGTAGAGACAACGTACGACAGTAGGGCTCCGGCGCAAGGTGCGCCTTAGGGCCGAGACCCGCAGCAAAGCCCACTTGGAGGGTCGGGGGACTTAGTAAGTAGGTAGTAAGTAGACTTATAAGGGACCCTAAGTGGGGCGATGGTACTTATAAGTCCCTAAAATAACCAGTTACTAAGTCCCCCGACCCTCCAAGTGTCTCATACTTAGAAATTAAAGGACCTTGGGGCACTAGGGATTAGAACTATGGTATAGGGTTTAGGGCCTACTTGGAGGTTCATGAAACGCACTACCTGGACCCCAAAAGTATGTAGAACAATTGCCTTTGTAGGTTTGGGGCCATTATTCTACCTACTTTTGGGGGTCTAGGTGAGGTTATAATTGAGATGACCATGTTTATAACTGCATATAACCCTCATGAAAGTACTTTTCACCTTACTTCCTAAGTCCCATGATCTTCCCGGTAAGCCTGTCCTTGCATCCCGTTCAACCCGAAACCCTGAATTTCGACGCACTCCCTCCTACAGACAAGATAGTGGCGATGGCAACAATGCTGTGCACATTTTGAGCATCCCGGCCCACATCACAACCTTGAACCCCGAAACTACTTCTAGGACCTAGAGTAGGCCCTTGTTCCCTTGTTTACGGTTTAGTAAGGTTCCCTTCTAACCCCCTTTAAACCAAAAAGGGCACCCTTTTTATTCCTAGCTTACTCTTGGGTCTAGACTTCAAAAACGATCCCTAAACCCGAACCCTTCTGGCCTAGTGCCTCAAAGAAGCGCCACCAACGCCATGGCCGATTGTGCTGCGTCTGAAGCCATCATAGTGTCATAGTAATAATAATAACTATATTGATAATAGTAATAATAATAATAACAATAGTAATAATAATAAGATGCAGCAGATCGTGAGCGTCCATTGCATGGCAGGTTCTAGCTTTGAGCTCAAGGTCAACTCCGACGAAACGGGGTGGGAAGTAGCAGAACGCATCGCAGCCGGAGTTGGCCACCCTGCAGGTTTACTTCTGCTGACATCCGGTGGCTGTGCCATCAATCCGTGCCAGCTGCTGCTGCTGCATCAAGTTCAGCACGACGAGATCTGGTACGTGGTGCGCAAGCTTGGTGCGGATCGTGTCGCAACGCTTTGGGAGCACTTGCTCAAGGGGAACACAGTGTCTGATGCAGATGTAGCTGGACTGAACGAAACGATGTCAGTCACGTGGTGTTCCAACGAAAACCTCAACCAAGGCATCCAACTACCCAGTAGCCTGCAGAGTTTCACGTTCGGCGACATTTTCAACCAGAGCGTGGAGGGCATCCAACTACCCAGCAGCCTGCGCAGTTTGACGTTTGGTGAGTGGTTTGACCAGAGCTTGGAGGGCATCAAACTACCCAGCAGCCTGCAGAGTTTGACGTTTGGCGACAATTTCAACCAGAGCTTAGAAGGCATCCAACTACCCAGCAGCCTGCAGAGATTGATGTTTGGCGAGCGGTTCAACCAGAGTCTGGAGGTCATCCAACTACCCAGCAGCCTGCAGAGTTTGATGTTTGGCGACAACTTCAACCAGAGCCTGGCGGGCATCCAACTACCCAGCAGCCTGCAGAATTTGACGCTTGGTGGAAAATTCGACCAGAGCTTGGAGGGCATCCAACTACCCAGCAGCCTGCAGAGTTTGACGTTGGGCTCTAACTTCAACCGGAGCCTGGAGGGCATCCAACTACCCAGAAGCCTGCAGAGTTTGACGTTTGGTCAGCGGTTTAACCAGAGTTTGGAGGGCATCCAACTACCCAACGGCCTGCAGAGTTTGACATTTGGTGGCCAGTTCGACCAGAGCTTGGAGGGCATCCAGCTGCCCAGCAGCCTGCAGAGTTTGACGTTTGGCTTCAAGTTCAACCAGAGCTTGCAGGGCATCCAACTACCCAGCAGCCTGCAGAGTTTGACGTTTGGCTGCAATTTCAACCAGAGCCTGGAGAGCATTCAACTACCCAGCAGCCTGCAGAGTTTGACGCTTCGTGGCCAGAGGATGGAGGGCATCCAACTACCCAGCAGCCTGCAGAGTTTGGCGCTTGGCTACAATTTCAACCAGAGCTTGGAGAGCATTCAACTATCCAGCAGCCTGCAGAGTTTGACGCTTCGTGGTCAGAGGATGGAGGGCATCCAACTACCCAGCAGCCTGCAGAGTTTGACGTTGGGCTCTAACTTCAACCAGAGCCTGGTGGGCATCCAACTACCCAGCAGCCTGCAGAGTTTGACGTTTGGTCAGCGGTTTAACCAGAGTTTGGAGGGCATCCAACTACCCAACGGCCTGCAGAGTTTGACGTTTGGTCGGCGGTTCAACCAGAGTTTGGAGAGCATCCACTTACCCAGCAGTTTGCGAATTCTCACTTTGCGGAATTTTTCTGTTGCCACGTGGTGAACGGTGATGTGCATCTTGCACCCTAAACCCCTAACCGTGTGATGCCCTCTTAAGGGCCAACCGAGTCGAATCCTGTCAGTATCTTCTGGGGGTGGGACCCTTAATGGGGACCCCTTAAAGGGATCTATAGGGGTTCTATAAGGGTATAAGGTTTAGGGGTTTGGGGGTTTAGGGGGTTTTGGGGGGGTTTAGGGGAAAAGGAGGGACCCTTCTTGGGGACCCCTACCCTATAATGGGCTATCTAATGGGTATATAATGGGTATATTAAGGGTATATTCAGGGTTTAGGTTTGAGGGGCTGCTTTGGTTCTTGAGGAACGCCCTACAGCAGCTCTTCGTCGTCGTCACGGCTACTGGTATCTATGGCGGCGCTCCCCTAGCTCTTTGGATCCCGAAACCATTGAACTCTAAGGAAACCCAAGTCCTTTTGCCAACCACAAACCCACTGAGTGACTTTTCTTAGGGGTACTTTGCAATAATCTTTAATAAGAAACACCTAAAATCATAATTTTTGCTAGGGTTCTAAGTTCAGTATCGTTTTGTTGGCAGCCCAACGGTTGATTTGGACACAAGCCTCTTTTTCTGGACCTGCTCAGCGGAGAAAGCCACCGCACATTAAAAACAAACCCTTACCAAATAGTAGTCTATACTTTGGCCCTAAACTGCCTATATGCGGACTACTTCAAGGCCAAAGCACCCACTATTCAGGACCCAGGCCCCATTACCTGGCACCTGCGGGACCTGGTAACCCCTGAACCCTCCCTTATAGAACCCTTATGGGTCCCTTTACAGGACTTCTGCATAGGCTTGTCTGTGCTGAACCGTCTCCCTACCCCGGACCCCTTTTCTCGTACATCCTTCGTGCTCTTTATTATGTATAACCTTTATATAGGTACGGTTATTTTTTTGGGGGTTAAGGTTTGCCGCCCCAATATCCTTAACTTTCCACCCGAAGAAAGCCTGCAATGCAATGCCAGGATCCTGCTTTCAGCGCTGGGCCTGGCTTTTTTCCTGCCGGTTACAGGTGTCCGATTTTAATGGTACCTAGGTTTAGTACTTACCTAGACCCCGAAAAAGTAGGTAATATACTGGCCCAAAACCTTTAAAATGCGATTATTCTACATACTTTTGGGGTCGAGGTAACCCCAAGCAAGAACACACCCTAAACCCCCAAAGCCCATCAAAGGCTATTATTCTACATACTCTTCTAGGACCTAGGGTAGGCCCTTATTCCCTTGTTTTAAGGGTTCGGGTTCCCTTATAAGCCCCTTTAAACCACAAAGGGCACCCTTTTTATTCCTAGGATACTCTTGGGCCTAGTCTTGGGGTCCAGGAAAACACCCTAAACCCTAAACCCTAAACCCAGGTAGTACCTTTTTTCCTTCCTTTCTGCAAAATCCTGGGCCTCGAGGTTCAGGGTTTAGGGTTTAGGGTTTACTTAGAGGGGCAGGGGACTTAGTAAGTAGATTATAAGTAGGGTTATAATTGGGGTAACTCCATTTAGGGTACTTATAGCTCTACTTATAACCTACTTACTAAGTCCCCTGCCCCTCCAAGTAGGGTCTCAACCCCAAATGGGAGTTTCCGAAAACAAGGGGTACCTCGTTTGAGGCTCCTTATCATAAGGATCCTACTATTTAGGGTCTTAGATTGGGGTCATATATCTTCGAAAAACTCCCGAATGAATTTAGTGATTCGGAGGCTTTAGGTTTAGGTGTTGCTGCTTCTCCAAGGGGGAAAGGAGGGACCCTTAATGGGCACGCCTACCCTATAATGGGCTATATAATGGGTATATAATAGCTATATGAAGGGTATATACCTAGTGGTCCTGATTAAGGGTCCCTCCTTTTGGTGGTGGTATGTTTTGCTTATTTTTTTCCGTTTTTTTTCTTATTTTTTTCCGTTTTGCTCGTGGCAAGCAAGCAAGCAAGCAAGCAAGCAAGCAAGCAAGCACGCAAGCAAGCAAGCAAGCAAGCAAGCAAACCAGCAAACAAGCAAGCCAGCGAGCAAGCAAGCAAGCAAGCATGCAAGCGTGCAAGCAGGCAAGCAAGCAAGCAAGCAAGCAAGCAAACGTGCAAGCAAGCAAGCAAGCAAGCAAGCAAAGAAGTAAGCAAGCAATAAAGGAAGCAAGGATGGAATCGTTGCAGCCTCCTGTTATTACTACCTACTACCTACTACCTACTACCTACTACCTACTACCTACTACCTACTACCTACCACCTACCACCTACCACCTACCACCTACCACCTACCACCTACCACCTACCACCTACCACCTACCACCTACCACCTACCACCTACCACCTACCACCTACCACCTACCACCTACCACCTACCACCTACCACCTACTGCCTACTGCCTACTGCCTACTGCCTACTACCTACTACTACCTACTACTACCTACTACTACCTACTACTACCTACTACTACCTACTACTACCTACTGCTACTGCTGCTGCTACTCCTACTATACGACTCCTACTACTCCTACTACTACTACTACTACTACTACTACTACACCTACTACTACTACTACTACTACTACTACTACTGCTACTACTACCTACTACTACTACTACTACTACTACTACTACTACTACTACTACTACTACTACTACTACTACTACTACTACTACTACTACTACTACTACTACTACTACCTTCAGTACTACTACTACTACTACTACTACTACTACTACCACTACTACTACTACTGCTACTACTACTACTAACTACCACCTACTACCTACTACCTTCTACCTATTACCTACTACCTAGTACCTACTACCTACCACCTACCACCTACCACCTACCACCTTCTACCTACTACCTACTACCTAGTACCTACTACCTAGTACCTACTACCACTGCTACTACTACTATTATTATTACCACGACGACGACGACTTTTACTACTACTACTACTACTACTACTACTACCACCTACCACATACTACCTACTACCTACTACCTACTACCTACTACCTACTACCACCTACCACTACTACTACTACTACTACTACATCTACTACTACTACTACTACTAGTACTACTACTACTACTACTACTACTACTACTACCACTACTACCACTACCACTACTACCTTCAGTACTACTACTACTACTACTACTACTACTACTACTACTACTACTACTACTACTACTACTACTACTACTACTACTACTACTACTACTACTACTACTAGTACCACTACTACTACTACTACTACTACTACTACTACTACTACTACTACTACTACTACTACTACTACTTCTACTACACCTACTACTACTACTACTACTACTACTACTACTACTACTACTACTACGACTAGTACTACTACTACCCCTAGTACTTCTACTGCTACTATGACCCTACCACCCCTACCCCTACCCCTACCCCCACCCCTACCCTTACCCCTACCCCCTCGCCCCCTACCCCTACCTACCCCTACCCCTAGCCAAACAAGGGAAACGGAAAAAAAATAAGAAAAGAAAACTGAAAAAAAATAAGGAACAAAAACCACGCCCTATGCCTCCTTTTACCCTTGGAGCTTCTGCAGTGGCCAGACTTTGGTTTGGGCCCCAAGGTAGCGAATCATATCGGAGCACTCCCAAATCGCAGCTTTGTGCTGTAGGGATCAGGGATGTAATGCAGGGGCGATAATAATTGCAGTATGGTTTTGGGCATGTTGTACTATGACTATAATAACTAACTATAATAAGGAACCGCCATCATAGTGTTGGTAAGTACGGCTGATGGACAAAATCCTGCATTACCCATTATAAGGAATATACCATAGTTCCCATAGTTTAGAGTCCTTAGAGTCATGCAGGATTTTGTCCATCAACAGTACTGAGGGGCCCAAAACCTTAAAGCTTTGGCGTTTTAGGTTTGGGGGTTTAGAGTTTCAGGTTTTGTTTAGGGTAGCTTTTGCAAGCCTGAACCAGCGCAGCCAAAAGACCTGTAGTTGGTTCCCTCAATGACAAAAGCGTGGCGTATCCGCAGGCATCGAGAAGTCAAGCCAAAGGAAGGAGGCCCACGAAAGCACATCTGGGCCTGTCATGGCGCTGTCTGCAGGATTACCTTCGGTTTCCACTCCAATATTCCTGAAGCGAAGGAATGGATTCACCCGCAAACGGGTCAGCGCTTCACCCGAGAGGAATACACAGAGTATTTGAGTTCAGACCCTCTCAAAGGTAAGAATCCAGACAAAGATGGTCCAAAGGACGCCTCATATTTGGCACCAGATGCCTGGCTCACGACGTCTGATTTGGATCCAATGCCCATTCTCTGTGAATGGAATGGAATTGAGGCTGGTGCTATTGCGAATGATCTAAAACTATAAGCCTGAGACTCTTAACCCTGAAAGCCCTTGTGCACCCTTAAACCACAGTTTCGTCTCCCCTAAACCCTAAGCCCTAAACCCTGAACCCTAAACCCGTGAGCCCTAAACACCAAGCCCGAAGCCCTAACCCCTAATCTCTAAACCCCAGACCCCTAAGCCCCAAACCCCAAACCCGAAGCCCTAAACTCGAAACCCTAAACCGCTAAGCCGTAAACCCTAAGCCCTACACCCTGAACCCTAAAACCCTTAGCCCAAGACCCCAAACCCGAAGCCTAAACCCTAACCCCTAAGCCCTAAACCTAAACCCCAAGAGCCCTAAACCCCAAACCCGAAGCCTAAACCCTAAACCCCTAAGCCCTAAATCCTAAACCCCAAGCCCTAAACCCGAACCCAGGCCCTAAACCCCAAACCCGAAGCCCTAAACCCCAAACTTCGCAGCCCTAAACCCGAAACCCAGGCCCGCAGAAAGATGTCTTCGACATTGGCGACGCCGGAGACGGGCCAGAAGATGAGGACCAGGCCTTTAAGGGTCACTTTAACCCTTAGGCTCTAAGGACTCATGTTTAAGGCTTTTGGGCCCAAGGATTAGGGCTATTTTGAGCCTTAGGGTAAAGGGTTGAGGGTTTAGGGATCTGGACTTACGGTTTAGGCTTTAGGGCAACTATAATTACTTGGAGGCACACGGGACTTAATAAGTAAGGTTATTCATACCTTAATTGGGGTCGAAAGTAGTTATATCAGTATAGTTACCCTAATTATAACCCTAGTTACTAAGTCCCATGATCCTTTAAGTATAGCCCATATTCGGGGAATTATAACTCCACTTATACTAGGATGCCCAGTAGTCCCTCATTCCCTTTTTGTAGTCCTAGGTTCCTTATAAAGTTACCCAATACCAAAAAGAGAGGTCTTTTTATTCTTAGGTTACTGGGTATCCTAGTATAACTACCCATGCACCGCCAAGCAGAGCCGTGAAGAACCCTAGGGCCTAAGGCTCCTGGGCTTAGGGGCTAGGCGTTTAGCGGTTTGGGTTTAGGGTTTAGGGTTTAGGGTTTTGCGCTTAGGGTTTAGGGGTTAGGCGTTTAGCGGTTTGGGTTTAGGGTGTAGGGTTTAGGGTTTAGGGTTTGGCGCTTAGGGTTTAGGGGCTATAGTGCATGCTTTCGCTGTAGATAAACGGGGCCTATATGTAGGTAGTAGGCACTTTAAAGCCTAACTGCCTAAGTATATGGGTGGTTGTCAAAATTATGGTCCCTTTTTGGGTCCCTAATATAATGCGGCACCCATTATTTAGGGTATCCCAAAAGGGACCCTGATTTTGACAGCTAGTCATATGGGAGTTTCAGAAAATAGGGGACCCTAAAATAGTACCCTAAATAGTAAGATCCTTTTTGTAAGGACCCCCAAAATAGGGTACACAAAATCTTCGGAAACTCCCATAAAAATAGATAGATGTGTACATCGACCCTTAGGGCTTACCCTACCGAACCCGATAGATCCAACCTGCTTAGGGTGACTTCCTTACATACATACATACATACATACGTACGTACATACATACATACATACATACGTATGTATATAATATATATAATAGATATATATATATATATATACATATATATATACACATACATATGCATAGATACATTTAATTTAAGTGTATGAATGTGTGTGTGTGTGTGTGTGCCTATCTTTATGCCGTTAACCAGGCAGTTCATGTGGGGTTGAGTTGGATCCCCTGAACCTCGAGGCCTAGGATGAAGCTCTACAAGGGTGGTTGTCAAAATTAGCGTCCCTTTCGGGTACCCTAAACAATAGGTTCCGTATTATATTACGGACCCAAACAGGGACCCTAATTTTGACAACCACCCACAACCTAAAGCTTTAGACTCTAAACAAAGCCCGAAAGTGAGCCGAAGATGCTCATCTGATCAGGGCTTCCTCCTCGACATAGGTCCCCGGCTCAGTACCAGGGTTCAGTTTTCGGGTTTAGGGCTTAGGGTTCAGTCGTAATGTATTTATGGTTCAGGCTTAGTTAGGGTTTATGGTTTTAGGGTTCAGGCTCAGGGTTTGGTGCTCAGATTCAGAAGTTGGGCTTTTCTTACGAAGAGGTTCAGGGCGTGAGGGTTGCTGTGGCTCCTACGGCTGCTATTTCATGGTTAAAGCTTCTGGCTTCAAAGATCTCAGCATCGCGGGTGTTACGGTTGATGATGTAAATCCTGCATTACCTTAAGGACCCCAAACTATGGGAATTATGGTATATTCCTTATTATGGGTAATGCAGGATTTATATCATCAACTGTAAAGCTATGTTGGGTCCTACAGGCTAGGGACCCACAAGGACTGAAGCATATCCTTGCCCTATGGGCTGCATAATAAGGTGGCCTAAATGGGATATCCCCATCCTAAGTTTTGCTTGTGGGCTTGTTTGGGCCCCTGATAGGGATTCCGGCTTCAGTATACCCCTAAGTTCCCTCCAGTAGCTGAGTAGGCAACCTTTAGCGTTGTGCGGTTTGTATAAACCTACCATAATTGAAAGGGTTCTTGTTTTTTGGGCTAGGGTACGCACTAATCCCGAATCCCTAAACCCCTATAGATCCCTTTAAAAGAGCCCTTAACAAACCTCTGTAGATCCCCTGAGAGGGTGGTACTCGGTTGATGATAGAAATCATGCATTACCTTAAGGTCGCTACACTATGGGAATTATGGTATATTCCTTATTGTGTGCAATGCAGGATTTATATCATCAACCGATAGAGTCCTTCATGAAGTCTTTCCAGCATATGAGTCCCGCCGATCCAGCGGTTCTTCTGGGTTCTGGTTAAGGCATTTAACTGGGCTTTGGAGTACCATACTCAGGGTTCAGGGTATAGGGTTTAGAGTTTAGGTTATAGGTATAGGGTTTAGGGTATAGGGCTTAGGGTTTAGGGTTCTTCTGGGTTCTTGCTAAGGCATTTAATGTATGTTTTAGAAGGGGCCCCCACCCTGTAATAGTGGTATAATGGGAATATAACAGGGCCCTAATATTATCCTTATAGTCACTATTACAGCCCTACTCAAAGGATCATGGGACTTAGTACCTACCCTAAGGCTCCCGGACCCTCGTAGTGAGATCCCAAACCTTAGCTCCCAAAGCCCACAGCCTCGCCCACAAAGCCCAAGACCCTCTTTGGAGCTTTAGGGTTAATGTATGTTACCATCCTTGGGATCTACAGTAAATAAATGCATGCACTATGGTTTCCTTATCTCTTGCACCACGCAGCACTGCAATCTAGAATGAGGCACGGCGCATCATGCGGCTCCAGCAGTGGGAGCAGCAGCTCCGTGCGCGCGAACCAGCCTTGCGGGCCTTGCAGCAGCAATCTTCAATTACTGCACAGGAGGCGATACCCCACTTACCTGCCTAGGAGGAAGCATGTCAGTGCAAGCCGCGGCACGCGATATGGCGACAAAACTTGGTGTTTCTGCTCGAAAACTAGGTAACTTATTATTGTGAAATGTGCACTGCCAACAGCGTATCTGAGTTTTCCCAGAGCTCCTTCCGTCGTTGCGAAAACCGTCGGACTCCCACTGTAGTATCTACAAAACGTAAGCAGCTGGATCGCGAGCCCCAAATCAAGAATCCCAATGAGTCCCAGAGAAGCATGTCTCAGCAGAGCCCAGGCCTTGAACCCCAGAGCCCTTACAAGGTCTAAAGAACCTCTAGAGATTTCTTGGTAGGAACTCTACCCTAAACCGAGGCCCTAAACCCTAAACTCTTCTCTAAATCCTTAAGGCCTTAAAACAACCCTTGTGGAAGTGAAGAGCCCGAGGCCCTGCGAACGGGCACCGAGCATTTCCTCCAAGGGACAGAGAGGAGCTAAGTTTAGGCTTTAGGTGTAGGCTTACTTAACCCATTGGAGAACTTGAAAATGTGTATTTAGTCTAGGTTACAAAGGTTGAGCTTTTTTGGGCCCGGTTATTTGAGAAGAGAGTAGGGGTCAGGGTTTAGGGTCCATGTACGCAAAGAGGGGCTCTTGGTGCCTTTTGGTGTGTGTGTGTGTGTGTGTGATTTGCTGTTTTCGCTTGTGCTAGCATTGTGTGATGTGTCGCCGTGACCCGTTTCAGGGCATTTGTTGTTTACTGGGGTGGGTTGGAATGTTTAGAGTTTAAAGCTTGTGGTGTTTCAGGGTTTGAAGTATTTGAATCACTGAATCCGTATCGTGGTGTCTTAGCCTGTTTTTGGGTTCCGGGTGTTGTGATGCAGGTTTCCAGCCTCTCTTCGTACCGTATCGTGGCACGTCTGATGAAGACATGATGATAAATTAATGGTCATGCCTCGTGCTGCGCCGTTGATGTAAACCATTACGGCCACTTCGTTTTATAATTGAAGTAGTGTAGGTTTGTGGTCCTTATGCGGTGGTTGTTGTGGTGGCAACCATTTTTGCAAAGCCTGCCTGATCGCTGCTGCAGCTGCAGATTCATGCATGATTGTAATGGTGTCGGCGATGGCGATAGTTTTCGATGAGGAGGTTGCGTGAGGACGAGTAACTAAACTAGTCATGGCATTGATTCTTGTGAACGTGATGGCTTTAGCCAGCAGTAAGCGTAAGGGTCCACGTATCCAAGGACAGCATACCTCAACAACCAACGCACACGTGTCTCCATTTATTTCCTAGGTACGAAGTCGAATGCACCCTCCGAAGAATCCGCAATCAAACCAACAACCGTCAGCACACCCAAACCCCATAAACCCTATACCCTAAACCCCTAAACCCTAAACTCTAAACCGTATATAAAACGTAACACCCAACAGGCTTTTACAGACCCTCTCGAAGGCCTCATCAACCTCATGGCTCATGTAGCACAGAGGTTCGACTTCTGGTAGCAAAGCACTTACGGTTCCGACACAGAAGACGCAAATCCTAAGCCCGAAAGATTTTCGAAAGCCTTGATCCCAGACCCTATAAACCCGACAACCCCTAAACCCGCAAACCCCACAGAACATAAGCCTTACCTGGACCCCAAGAGTATGTAGAATAGTAGCTTTTTTATAGGTTTTGGGCCATTATGTTACCTACTGTTGGTGGCGTAGGTAAACCCCGAACCAGAGCGCAGGAACCTGCTTCCTCCTCTTCGGGGCCTGCCTTTAGAGGAGATAACATCCTCGAGTTGTGATGACGCGAGCCCTACGGCTTTCCCAAAGGGTCCTAGGTACTGTTATGGGGGATACTTCCCCAAATCATCAGATGAATTCCTAATATAGAAACCTTACATTCTACTATAAAGGTGCTGTGGACCCTACGGCTTTGGAGGTGCAGGTTCAGGGTTGAGGCCGTAAACCCTAAACCCTAAACCATAACCCAAAGAGGTTTGCGGTTTCGGCTGCAGACCCCACGATCGACATGCTTCCTATGTCCTAGCACCCATGAGAAGCACCAGAAAAACGCCCGTTGAGAAAGCATGGTGTTACGAAATTGTGAAGCCCGTAAAGACCCTTTATGAACAATAGGCTTTGACGAATCCTCAAAGCCCTTCAGCCATGAGATTCTAAGTACCTCATGTAGTTTAGGGTTTATGTTTATGTTTACGCCTGAACCTATCTATGTGTATATCTTAAAACAGGTCTTGGTTTGCTAGGTAGGCCTTTGGGACATATATTGCATGTTCCCTTGAGATTGAGATGATCTTGTTTGCGAATAGTTTTGTGGTGCCAGGAATTTGAGATCGTCTTAAGGTTATGTTTCTGTAAGGAGTCTTGTCACTGATGAGTTGCAGCAGCTACACCTTATACCACTTGATGTAGGAACCTGATCCAGGAACCCTGGGCCTCTAACCCCAAAATAGCAGGATTCATAGAAGGAGCCCTTGCAAAGGCCCAAGGTTTCTTAATCAGGTTCCTACATCATACTATACCCTAAGCCGAGCATGTGTTCGCTGTTATTGGGTGATTGGGGTTAGATTGCGTGGCCGCTATGGTGCCATTGATGGTCTACCGCTTGGCCGCAATGGGTAATTCGTGATGAAGAGCTCATCTCGTACAAGGCCGAAGCCCTAAACCCTAAACCGTACCCCTTTTGAGGGATCCTCTGAGGTCTCCTTCAACGCTTTCCGACAAGGGTTCTTTTTGGGCTTAAATTAACCCGGAACACCTACCTTTGTTAAGGACTTATATAAGGAAATCATAGCAAGGATCCCTACAAAGGTAAGTTATTCAGGCTTAAGGTAGGGTTTAAGGGTCCATGTGCGTGTATATCTCGTACAAGCTGAACCTATTTGCTTGCTCGGCGAAGTGTAAAGTCAACTTACTCATCTCAAGAACTGCTGGTTTTCGCTTTATGACCCCCTGTCTAGCTATATACGAACAGATGATATCCTTAGAAGTTTCAATCTTTCAGCTGTTCCCTCTGTCTATGAGTCTATGAGGCTTGCTTCCGTGGTCTGCTCAGTAAACCTCAAATTCAGAACATCTGCATGAAGGTTCATGTGGTTCAGATGTAGATCGTTTGTAGGCGCCCTTAGATATAAGTAGTTACAAGTGCGCTTACCCTACGTGCGAGATGCCCTGATCCTTCAGGCACAGGGGAAAACGAGGGACCCTTAATAAGGACCCCTAGGTATATACCCTTAGTATATAGCTATTATATACCCATTATATGGCCCGTTATAGGGCAGGGGTCCCAATTAAGGGTCCCTCCTTTTCCCCTGTGATTCAAGCAAGCCTGAATTGGGTTTTGGGGCTCTTAGAGACCCTTTGCTGTAACCTGGAGCCACTACCTGGACCCCGAAAGTATATAGAATAATAGCTTTTTTATAGGCTTTGGGCCATTTTTTTACCTACTTTGGGGGTCTAGCTAACATAATTTGGGAGCTAGTCTCAGATTTACGATTTCGTTTCTATGGTTCACCATCGCAGTATACGGTTTCGACCCTGAACCCTAAACCCTAAACGCGCACCCCAAAAACGAACCTCAGACCGTACGCAAGTCTACGACGTTCATGTAGCTGTCTCTCATGTGGCTGTGATCTGAACAGGGTGCATGTGTTTTTAGTGCGTCTTAGACCTTAAAACTAAACTCGCAATCCTCACGAAACCTCAACCTCGTGTGCAAGGAAAACCATCTTAGCGCACACACACACACACACACACACAGACACACACACACACACACACCCCGTGTAATATCGAAGTAGAAGCCTGACCAATTCCGAAGCTTGCTGCTTGAAGTTCCTCATTCTAGCTACACCTCAGTGTATCGTACCCGGAAAGCCTGTTCTAATCATGAATGCCCCTACATGGGTAGTTCGCTAAATTACGGTTCCTTTAAAAAGTCCGTTTCAGAAGGGCGCAGGACCATCTCGGAGACTTAAAAAGAGGACCTAGAGTAGGCCCTTTTTCCCTTTTTTAAGGGTTCGGGTTCCCTGAAAAGCCCCTTTAAACCAAAAAGGGCACCCTTTTGATTCCTAGGATACTCTTGGGTCTAGAAAGAGGACCCTAATTTCGAGAATTTCGAGAACTACCGGGTCCTGGCTGCTAAGGAAGCTCGGGGGCTGGTGGTGTGTAGAGTTTAGGGATTGAGGTTTAGGGTTTAGGGTTTAGGGTAGGCGGTGTGTAGAGTTTAGGGATTGAGGTTTAGGGCGGTTGATTCGAGGTTAGGGGTTAGGGATTCAGGTTTATTCAATACCAATAGATGGCTGTTTGCCGAGAAGCTTCGTCAGCTTCGTCATGTCCTGTAAAGTGCACTCTGGCTTCTAGTCCAGTTCGAAGCACTGTCATTCTTTCGGGTTCAAGGTTCACAGTTTCGGTTGATGGTATAAATCCTGCATTACCCGCAGCAAGGAATATACCATAATCCCCATCGTTTAGGGTCCTTAAGGTAGTGCAGGATTTCTATCATCAACCGTTGCACAGAGTTAGCAGTTTTTCAGGTGCCTGAGATCATGTGGGAGTTCCCCAAAAATAGGGGACACTTTAGGGTTTTGGGTTTAGGGTTTAGGGTTTAGGGTACCCTAAATAAGTAGGATCCTTATTATCAGGACCCCACAATAAGGTACCCCTAGTTTCGGAAAGTCCCAAATCGTGCCTAGAGCCGAATAGGATCCTCATTATCAGTACCCCAATATAGGGTAACCTTATTTTCGGAAACTCCCATGTGACCTGAGGTCTGTACTTAAAGGATCACGGGACTTAGCAACTAGGCTTATATTTAGGGTAACTGTACTTATAACTACTTATAACCCCAATTAAGGTACTTATAACCTTACTTACTAAGTCCCATGATCCTCCAAGTAGGGTTCAGGGTCTACCTGCAACCCGCGACCCTTCCCTCAGCGCCCGATTGCTTCATGGGCCTGTGTGCGAGCGCGAGGTATGTTTCACCACGCGGCCAGCACCGCGAATAGCGGTTGCCCGAAGGAAGTTCAGAATCGAAGTGTGCCCTTAGACAGCCTCAACCCCCAAAAAAGTCGCATCTCTCTGATAAATTTCGACCAAGAAGCATCCCAACAGTTTCGGAAAGCTGCTGTTTTCGATCTATGATCGTTGGCATGACCTTACCAGGCTGTGAAAAACCCACAAGCTCCGCGTAGCAAGGTACCCAGAGAGCCCAATGCCCCTTAATTAAGGAATATAGCTTAGATCATAATATGAAGCCCCTAATGATTTAAGGTATATTTCTTAATTAAGGGGTATTGGGCTCTCTGGGTACTTAAGACCTGAAGACGCCGAGCCGGAGAGCCTAACCCTGAGGCTCTGAAGGCTCGTACTATAAGGGTTTAGGAGTTTGAGGTAGGGTTTAGGGTTTAGGGACTACCTTAAACCCAAACCCCGGGGATTTAAGGACTCGTATTTTTAAGGCTTTTGGGCCCAAATGCCATACTATATAAGGCTTTGGGGCTCTTTTGAGCCTTAGGGTAAGGGTGAAAGTTACTTCAAGGCTTCAGACCATACCCTTGTATGCACTATACGGGGTTCTAGACATTACCTACTGACTTGGGCATTTGGACCCTTAGGATTTGCATTCGGATTCAATTCTTTCGGTCAGGTTTGCCGTGAGGTCTTCAGCCCCTACACATTTTCAACTCTTTTAAGGGCCTGACTAATTAGCTACCCTAAACTCTAAACACCCAAACTACAAACCCTAAGCCCTAAACCATAAACCCTAAACACTACTTCGCTGTCTTAATGCCGGCCCCTTTTTGCACCATGGGAGTTTCGCCATAATCCGAAAATATGGGACCCTAAGAAAGTAGCCTGGAGAGTAGGATCCTTACCCTAATATAGTAATCTATATAGTAGGATTGCTAGGATCCTTATTATGTATTATAAGACCCCAAATAAAGGTACACCGAATTTTCGGAAACCCCAAACCCTTTATAGAACCCTTATAGATCCCGTTAAGGAAAGGATCCCTTTAAAGGAACCCCTAAATTTCGCCATAAGACGGGGCGAGTTCGTCGTGCACTTTCAGCTCGGGCCCCTCCCCGGAGCCCAGACTTTCAGCGCTGAAGACCCGGCTCCGAAACGGCTTCCATAAAGGGTTTCACAAGGATCCTTATCAAAGGGTTCTATAAGGATCCTGTACTAGGGATCCTTAAAGGGTTCTAGAAGGGATCTATAGAGGTTTAGGGTCCACCAGGTTTCTGAGTAGCAACCTTTTGCCCTTTTTGTTGCGGGGCTCCCTCAATAAAGCCCAATAGTAGGAAGAAGTTACCTTTCTTATAGAGGGGTTACTCAGGAAGCTAGATCAATAAGATGAATGACGAACTTCCTTTTCGCCCAGAACCCCTAAACTCTAAGCCCTTGAGTGCTTGAAGCTCTTGCATTCCGACTTCCTTCGGAGTGATGCTAATGGTGGAGGAGCCGCATGGATTCAGGTAGCAACAAAAGTCCGCCCGACTTGCGCTGCTCGCGTGCAAGATAGAGACGTTGGTAGGTGCTGCTGATGCCACGACGACGACGACTGCTACTACTACTACTACTACTACTACTACTACTACTACTACTACTACTACTACTACTACTACTTCTGCTGCTACTACTACTACTACTACTGCTGCTGCTACTACTACTACTACTACTACTACTACTACTACTACTACTACTACTACTACTACTACTACTACTTCTAGTACAACTACTACTACTACTACTACTACTACTACTACTACTACTACTA